GTACATAAAGGTCTTTCGTACATACACTTATACGCTTGAAGCAATGAAGCCCCGGGGATACAACAGCTAGGCGACAGCTCGTACAAAGCAACATTGCCGTTCCCTGCAGATTTAAACCTATCTGGCTGAACGTCGAAGCTCCGAGGGAAGAAAGCAACGAGGATGCCACTTTTGTGGCGAAGACCCTCTTGTCTGCCTGCAAACTCTGCCCAAACACAATTTGTGCTGGTGAGGGTTCATATCCAGATGCCAACTTCGCTTTGCAATGTCACCCGCATGTCCGGCCTCCCCATCGTAGGGCACGGCCACTGGTCTTGTAGTAAGACCCTTAGCGGTGCAAAGCTGAACGGTACCATGCTGATGCCCCACTCATCAAGACTACTTGACTAATTCCCTGATCAACGCTTCAATGTGGGTTCAATGTGGCGAGGACTGGCAATGCGAATGTCGCTTCAGTTTGTCCACTGCAGCTGCCACGTCAGCTCGGAATTTACCTCACAAAAACAAGCCGTTTGAATGCATTAAAGTTTGCTTCGCGGGGCAGGCGATAAAACATGCTGTCGCAGGAATTCGACCATGTCTTGCATGACTTCTTCTCTACATGTCTCGAGCAAAATCTCGTGGCGCCCATCACCGTAGGAGATACGCTTGTGTATCTCACGGCCGGCTGCTCGGAACTCGTTTGTCAGCTGTAGAGCAGAGTTGCCACCCAGGTCGTTCATGGTGCAAGGATCCTGCCCGCCTTGGATCGACAGCACCGGACACCTCGGAAACCTCATCAACGTTTCTTTGTTGCCGGCTGCCTGAATGGCTGTAAAGACAGCCTTCCAGAAGCCAACGCTGCACTTGAAACCGCACAGAGGATCGTCCTCGTACTTCTGCACCTCCAATGGATCACGGTTGAGCCAGTCACTCTCGGTTGCGTTGGGTGAAAACTCTTTGTTCCACTTGTCCATGGTTAGTGTGCTGATCAGAGGCGATATTCCTGCCTCCCCACGCAGAAGGCCCAGGAACTGCAGCAATGGTCCAAAGGCCAGCTTCACCGGCGATGGAAGTCTGGCGGGTGCTGCACTAAGTATGACGGCGGCAGGTGCGGTCTTTGTCAAGCTTGCAGCGACGAGGGTTGCGATCGCACTGCCCAGAGAATGACCCAGGATTACCAATGGCAAACGGTGGTCTTCCACGGCGCGCTGACAAAGAAACACGTGGTCCTGCACAATCCTCTGTACCACATCCTTACCGTTTTGTGCATCCATGTGCCCAAGCCGATGACCTTTCGCACCCTTCTCCACGGCTCTCAGGGCTGTCTGCCCATGAGCCCGATTGTCAGATGCATAAACGATGAATCCCTCGGCTACGAGGCGAAGTGCCAAGCCTGCATAACGCGCAGAGTGCTCAGCTATCCCATGACAGATGTGTACAATGCCAACCGTCTTTCCTTCCGGTGCCCACTTGCGCACCAAAATATCGCAGCCATCATCCATGGTCGCCCAGGACTGCTGCCCTGCTGGGCCCCAGTCAACCTCGCCCATGGCTCACTACAAAGGTGCCTCTAGCAGAGCTCTTGTGGCCACGGAGGCTTGAAACCGAAATTGCTGCGAAAATGGAAAGAATGCTTTCTTAAGCTCCAACGAACAGGCAGCAAAGCAAATCAAGATGCAAATCAGATTCCCCAAAGACGTAGAGTTCAAGCCCAGCACGCGATTGGCTGGGTGGTCTTGGAACGGTGTCATTTGAGCCATTGCCTGTCGGTCTGCAGACATAGCCTCAAATCCTGCCCACGGCAATCTACTGACAAATGCCTGGGCGGCCACGGCAATACATCTGATGACGAACTCCTGCAACAGCCACAGTGTGCAAGATGCAGAAAATGCATGCAAACACGTGCATCGGAAGTAAAGCCTACACAGTACGTCTACATGATGTTGCGGGGTACCCGGCGAAATTAATCGACATCAATGCAGCGACTGCTTCACCTGCTCCGCACTCACTACCATTCCCAACCCTCTGCTCTCGTCGTTTTGACTCTCACAACTCGCACAAATGCAGGCAGGGATCCTCATAAGTCGGTGCAAGACTGATTGCAACCAGAAGCACAAGTCTCAGAAGTTTCAGAGGAGAACACATCTCTCTCATCATTCTCATGGTTTAGGTATTGGCGACTGGCTTGACATCGCTTGTTTCTGAGCTTCTACATCTTTTGGCCTTGTCTGCTTGACCCTGTCTTGTCTTGGATGACGTTTTGGGCTGCAGCTGCTGGCGAAAAGTCCTAGCGGTCCTGGAACGTGAACAAGACAGCCATTCCCCATCGTCGGGAGCGTAATTGTGTTTCCACACCCCGAATGGAAGTTGGAGTTTTGGTTCTGGGGCCTTTGCCACACTGTGTTTCCCCAATTCTGCATTGGAAGCCATACCAGTCTCTGATTGTCATTTTGCAGCTCCTTTCCACAGTCGAGAGGTGTCATGCCTCAAGATGATTCAGTTTCGGGGCCAGCGGCAGAACTCACTGGATTGCAATGAATTGAACAGTAGTCAGCTCAGTCGGAACGAATCAAGGGTGCCCCACCTTACACAGATCGCAAGCATGCCAGTATCTGCAAGCAAGAAAACCCGACATGGGAGGCCTCGGTAACTCTGTACCATTCGTGCTTCAGCTTGGCCCCAATACCTGATGGGTCGCAGCTAGCTGCTACGGCTGAAAAGATTGTCTGGTTGCATGCTGCTGGCATCGTGGACGATCCAACATGACTCATTACGTGGCCGATGATGCAGCAGCAAGCAAAAGAGTGGTTCCATGCTCTTGCCTAGAGAGGCTTCAGGCTTCCTAATATAACTTTGCAAGCGTCTCGTCACCGGCAGGGTCACGAAGCTGCCACATGTCATCATCACTCAACTGCCCTTTTCGCACTTTTCTTCCTTTGTCGTCCACCTGGCAACAGCGACACGTCCCAACGCAGAGAGAGGGGGAGCTTCGATGTCTATAAGCTGAAATTTCGAACCACGTTCTTCAGAGCCTCCTCCTCTATGGTGGGCGCGACTTGCACAACGGTCCTGCAGCCGAACCTCAATCAACACATGGCGACTCGCCAGCCGCAGATACCGGAACAAGGCATCTGAGCATGCGCCAAAACCTTGAACCTTCGGCAGATGCGCATGAACTGGAATGTGCTGGCCAAAGCACGTACTCACGAAGCGCTCCAGTTCCTCACATGGTTCAGTGCAACAAGCGCTTCAACATTATACAGGTCTTCATCGCGGATGATGCTGCTCATTTTTTGTTCGTGTCGTTTGCCATTGTGCCTGGATGACGTGCTCCCAGCAGCAGCAGGAGCGGCAGAGTATGGTTGTAGTTGGTGGTGGTGGTGGTGGTGGTGGTGGTGGTGGGGTTGGTGGTGGTTGTGGTGGTGGTGGTGGTGGGTGGTGGTGGTGGTGGTGGTGGTGGTGGTAGATGCGGTCGTCGTCGTCGTCGTCGTCGTCGCTGTCGCTGCCGCTGTTGTGGTTGCTGTTGCGGTAGCTGTGGCTGTAGGTAGTGTTGTCGTTGATGTGGTTGTTGATGGGGTTGCTATTGCTGCTGCTGTTGTTGCTGCTTCTGCTGTGGTTGTTGCTGCTGATTTTGTTGTTGGTGATGATGATGATAATGATGATAATGATGATGCTGTTGCTGCTGTTACTGTTGAACAAGAGTCATGGCTTTTGTTTTCGCTGTAGGTGGTCGTGCTACTGTTGTTGTTGTTGTTGCTGCTGCTGCTGCTGATGATGATGTGGTGCTTGTAGTGTCGTTGTACTCACTTTGTCTGTTGCTTGGAGCTGCCCCTTCGCTGTTACTGATGATTCCTTCAGTGATTGTGGTTGGCTTTGTTGCCTACCCGTCCTCAGCGTCTCGTTGCACTTGCTTTTGTCCACAGTAGTCGTTGTTCTTGGCATCGTGGATATGCTGACTGTAACCTTAACTGATGCGTTGAGCTGGGCCTTTGGGACTATCAGTATGGTTCAACCCTAAACCCTAATTCATGGTTTATAGGGGATGATTGTAACTTCTTGGCAAGTCGAAACCCACTCTTAGCATGAAGTCGAGCTCACAACAGGTTTTGTCAGGACACCAAAACCATCCTGGTAAACCTTAGCCGCACATTTGAGCACTGAGCTCTGAGCCTCAAACCATAATCGTGCTGCGGTGACGGAAGCTCGTGTCATTAAGGACGGTCGGTGGCTCGAGGTATGCATACTGCTCCGTGTGATCAAGTGCGCACCTGATCACGGTCAGTCCTAGCTCCCCTTCTCCATTCAAGGCCTGCGGTGTTTTGTTGTGCTTGGTGTGTGTGTGTGTGTGTGTGTGCGTGAGTGTGTGTGTGTGTGCGCGCGCTTGCAGTCATGTATACATATATATATATATATACTTATTTATTTATTTATACACATGTATCTATGTATGTATGGACGCATGTAATTATTATCATACATAAGAGACACGCTCACAAACAACTGTGGAACTTATGCCTGTACAGATTGGAACACGCCACCACGAGCAAGCAGTCTTTGGCTTCAAACCAAAGAGTCAAAGCCCTAAGCCCAGCCACACCCTAAACCCGATAGGCCCTAAACCCTAAACCCTGGGCCCTAAACCCCTGAAGCTTGAACACTAAACCCGAAGCCAAGCCACAGCACCACATCACTGGGGACAGGAACTGGGGAACCGGGAGTGGCGAAGACCACCTCCTCCCCTAGGATTTAGGGTTTAGGATTTGACTCAAATTCAAATTACACTCCAGGATTGACTCTGGAGGATGTACGCGTGTGGGTTTGCCTTCACTCTAAGCTGATAGCCTTTGGCTGATTACGGTTGCTAGGGAGCTAGTGTTGACGAAGGCAGACTCAGCAGTGCAAAGGCCACCGCTGACAAAGACTACCTCCTGCCATTCCGAGGCTGGCATCCGGACCGCGGAAACGAGCCGTACATGAAAATAGAGGTAATGTAGGGGCCATAATAATTCCAATAGGGTTTTGGGGGCTCCTTATTATGATGATAGTATAGTGGACCCCCAAAACCCTATTCCAGTTATTAAGGCCTGTATATTGGAATTGTGCAACATGTATACTAGATCGTGACATGATGTGATATGACCGCATAGCCTAAACCCTAAACCCTAAACCCTAAACCCTAAACCCTAAACCCTATAAACCCTACATGAACCTCCAAGTAGACCCTCAGTCCTAATAAAACAGGACCGGGCCGAGGACGTCTGCCTTCCGCGAAACTTAAGCCTGAAGCCTTCGAACGTAGCAGTAACTTCTCCAGTAGCAGTAACATCTCCAGTGGAAACAGTATAGGGTTTAGGGTTTAGGGTTTCGGGTTTAGGGTTGGGGTTTTGGGTTTAGGGTTTAGGGTTTAGGGTTTAAGGTTTAAGTACGCCTGAACATCGTTCCAGAGGGAGTATACAACGGCTTATGCCCTTGAGACTCACATGCAGGGCCTTTTCAAAAACCTGTCCCGGCTGAAGGATGTCAGTCTCTGCTTGACTGTTAAACATTGGAGCCATACCGACAAAAACTCAAATGCCCGTTGGCAACTTGAACTTGCATCCTGTGACTTGTGGTCACTCCTCTCTTTCTCTTTGCCAGACTTATTGACTTAAGGTGTCCTTGACAACAGCAACAGCACCTGACTGCTACTAGTACTACTACGATGACCTTCACTGTCACTGTATTTCGAGCTCTTACGATTATTATTACTCCTGCCGTTTCTCGAGTAGTTGCCAAACATACTTACACGTGAGGAATGCAGGCCCCGTGTAGATTCGCGTCTAAACCCTAAACCCTCATGGCCATGTTAAGCAGGTCAGCGGGTTGACTCTTTAGGATTTGGGTAGCGGGTCTCGGGCACCCCAAACCCCAAGCCCTTTAGGGCTTAGGGAATCTATGACGGATCTAGATACCCTTACCCTCAAAGGACTCATATTTTAAGGCTTTTGGGCCCAAAGACCCTATTATAAAAGGCTTTTGGGCTATCTTGATGCCAAGGGATAGAGTGTTGCAACGTAGAGTAGTTGCGCCTGAGGACTAAATACATTACTTGTCCAGCATCCCTTGGGGACAAAAAGGCTAGCCTTTAGGAGTATATGCGGATTCTAGTAACAGGAACCCCAACAAGGCTAAAGCTTAACTACGCTACTGCTAGGAATACCTAAGGCATTGCATGGAAACTACCCCAAACCCTAAACCCTAAACCCTAAACCCTAAACCCTAAACCCCAAAGGCCTACCACTGGGCCTACCACCCTGAACCCGAAGACCAAGACCTCCCCCACCCATCTCTAGACCTGGAACCGGACACCGAAAGCTAAACCCCAAGCCCATCATGTAGGGTTTAGGGTTTAGGGTTTAGGGTTTAGGGTCTAAGGGTTAGGGTTTAGGGTCTAGGGTTCAGGGTTTAGGGTTTAGGGTCTAGGGTTCAGAGTTTAGGGTTTAGGATTATTAGAATCGGGTTTGGGGGTCCTTTATAGTATATTTATAACAAGGAACCCCCAAAACAGTTGAGGCCCCTACATTAGTCCACAGACCGGTCCGCAAAAACCTAGCTTGCTTCTCTCAAGCTCGAATGCAACAGTGCAGCGGCCATGACCCCATCATGGGTGCCCCTAAACCCTATAAACCCTAATCCCTAAGCCCTTAAACCCCTAAACCCTAAACCCTCCCCTAACTCCAGGAAGCCCAGGTCTCACTTTTGTACGATTGAGGGCCAGGAAATGACTGGTAAGGTCGACAGTTTCTAGAACCCTTCCTGGAACCCTCCAGAAATTGTATGAAATTACGAAAATCAGGCATCCCACTATTGTGTTTGGGTCTCGTCGCAGAGCTCGACGAGGGTCCGCAGCCAAGAGGTTGTAAAGACTCAGAATAGGAGCCTAAAGAGGAGTAGCCACATGGTGCTCTGAGCCGTCTGTGAGACATCTCTGTCTTGCAGTGCTAAAAAGCCAAGAACCATGGGGCTTAGGGCCCTACGCCCTAAACCATCAGCCCTAAACCTAGAACTTGGAGGTTCATGGGTGGTTATAAATGGGGTTATATGTAGGGTGACTATATATTTATAACCGAAACTAACTAGGGGACTTCTAACCATACTTGTAACTACCCATGAACCTCCAAGAAGGCACCCAGAACCGAAAAAGCCATGCCCCTTCCGTTGCAAGTTGCAAGAAGGCTGTTGTAGTGTTTAGGGCGTCCCCAAAATCCGAAAAACCCTGAACCGGGCTTTAAGGCTAAGGCTTTCCGGAGGCCAGGTAGCTTTGGAAAACACACGGTCGTATCTAATGTAGGGGCCTACAAAAAAACTAGAATAGGGTTTTAGGGCCCTTTACACTCTAAATATATGGAACCCCCTTAAACAAAAACATTGGTATTTACTAAGGCCCCTATTATCTACTTTTTGGTCTCCTCCCGGGGGGATCTCTCCTGTCTTCTACCAGTACTAACAGGGACTGCAAGCGAATACTACGAGAGGGTTTTGGAGCTTAGGGTTTAGGGTATACTACGAGAGGGTTTTGGGGCACGTTCTTCGATAACTTTCTAGGGATTATCCTATAGAGGAGCTGAAAAACCTATCAACTGACCACTGCAAGACACGAGCGGCCAGGAGGACGGTGACATTCGCCATCGTCACACTTGGGAGACCTTGTCTCAGATTGCGTGCAATCCATGTGCGCAGGACATCGAAGGACGATCATGGGCCACACCTGAGCTCGGTAAAAACCATGAAGACCCTAAAGACCCTACAGACCCTAAGACGCTACATCCTCAAACCCTATACTTGCACACCCTAGAACCCAAAATTGTTCTAGGCTTCCAGGTGAGGTAATCCCAGATCCGACCCGTACGGATTTGGGGGCTCGCGGTTCCCCCTAAACTTTAAACTCTAAGCCCTTAACCCTGAACCCAAAAACCCAAAACCCTAAGCCCTAAACCCAAAGCCCTAAACCCTGAACCCTAAACCCAAACCGAAAACTTAAAACCCTAAGCCCTAAACCCTGAACCCTAAACCCAAAACCCAAAACTTAAAACCCAAAGCCCTAAACCCTGAACCCTAAACCCTAAACCCCCTAAACCCTAAACCCAAAACCCAAAACTTAAAACCCTAAGCCCTAAACCCTAAACCCTAAACCCCCTGAACCCTGAACCCAAAACCCATCTTAACGGGCTTGCGGTCAACCCAGAAGCTTCCCGAGGCTTCCCTTGAGAAACCGAGGCAACTTCAGCAAGCTGTGCCCAAGAAAAGGGTTTAGGGTTTAGGGTTTAGGGTTTAGGGTTTAGGGTCTGCCAGAGGTGGTAGGACGAGACACAAGCCCAAGTTCAATCTCGTATACATGTGTATACTTAGGGTATGCTTGACATTGCAAGCACACCACACGAGCAGGAAGGGGTCTCAAGAAGTGTATGTTCTACTGTAGTTATAACGAGGAACCCTAGGGAACACGACTGAAGATTATTTAGGCCCCTATATATATATATATATATAACACCCGGAAACCTAAACCCTCAACCCTCAACCCTCATTCAGGGTTGCTGATGTCAGCAAGGCTCCTGAATAACCGCACATGTGGGGAAGCGCTAACCCATGCAGCTTACCTCGTTAGTGGCAACTTGGGAACCGGGTTCAGTTCTAATTGCTATTTTTTGCTATACTTCTGCAACTACAGGCTTGCTCGCCTTAGCCCGACATTTTGTATTGAAGATCCGAACCTAAACAGCCCATAGAACCCCTATGACGTCCTAGCACCCTCGCAAGTATCTCAATGCTCTCCGAGCTGCCGAGTGAAACACTGCCAGCGCTCCGCGACATACCTGAAGGAGTTGTCAGCGGGCTTCTGCCTAGTCGCTATGAAGGCTTTGACGACTTCTATGAGATAGGGTTCCTAAACCCTAAACCCTAAACCCTAAACCCTACCCCCCTAATAGGGTTAGGGGTACCGTTGGGGCAAATCCCAAAGCCCTACACTCCACGCACACTTAACCCTCAACCTGCTCAGCCCCAAATCTGAAAGCCTAAATGCGAAGCCCGAAAATCTCTGACCTCCTACACCCTAAACCCTAAGCCCTCACTCCGTGCCTTGCAGGGATTGTGGACTTTTAACTTTCAGTTGGTCAGAGCAAGCAGTACATCACAGGGGCATTTCAGGAGACAAGGGCTTCATGTAGATAAGTGTATATATATGTATAATTACAGAGGCATGCATAGATACACAGATACACAGATACATACATACATAGTTACATAGATATAGACATACATACATACATACATACATACATGGTTGTTGTTCAAAATAACAC